TTTAAACATTTCTTAAATTTTATTTTGCACTTTTAAATTTGTCGATCAATTTTTTTTAGGGTTCAAACATTTTTAGTAGGCCTTGAAAAGTCTGTGAACACTAGGCACAGTGTCTACAGAGCCCAATCGAAAAATAGCCCAAGTGTAGCCAGATGGGGGAACATGTCCAGCCATCCCCACTGGGCACATTCCCACCTGAGTAGCAGATACCCTACTCTAATTAGACTCTTCTTTCAGTACTAACAGCTGAGGCATGGACCTAGACATTTCAGCTGCTAACAACATTGTTTAATAATGAGCCACGGGCTGAATTCCTCAGTTTAGTATTCTTCTGGCTGCATGTTATCAATGCTGACTGTGTCCCAGAAGTAGCAACCTGGGTTACAGATCAGTTTCCTAGAGCCTCTGTCACCAAAAGAGCCACCAATCCGATCTCCAATTATATAAGGAATGTTTCAAAAGATATTCTTTTCTGCTTCACAGGTAATTGGATTAGCCAAACATATGAAGTCATTTTAGAACAATGATAAGATCAAAATATAAAATAATCACTTCTAATATGAGGTAGCAAGGTGGAAAGTGAGCCAGGATGGAAATGCAAAACCTCTATGGGGGGTTACTGATACGGACCATTTTTTAAATTTTATTTATTTATTTATTTATTTTGAGACGGAATCTTGCTCTGTCACCTAGGCTGGAGTGCAATGGCACGATCTCGGCTCACTGCAACCTCCGTCTCCCGGGTTCAAGCGATTCTCCTGCTTCAGCCTCCCAAGTAGCTGGGATGACAGGCATGCATCACCATGCCTGGCTAATTTTGTATTTTTAGTAGAGACGGGGTTTCTCCATGTTAGTCAGCCTGAACTCCCGACCTCAGGTGATCTGCCTGCCTCAGCCTTCCAAAGTGCTGGGATTACAGGTGTGAGCCACCGTGCCCGGCGACATGGCCCATCTTGATGACTATGGGTTTCCAGTGATTGGAAGCCCCCGTGTGAGCCATATGTGCCCTGTCTATAAAAATCCTAGAGCAATTTCAGATGCATTCATAGATAGTCCACGTTACTTTGACAGCACCTCCACATATAAACAGCAGTACAGCAAAAGTTGCAGATATTTCAACAACTGAAAGGGACAGGATGGGGAAAATCAACCAACACTTTTCTGACACTGGAATTCTGTAAACCAATGTGACTCTACGGTCCAGAATCAAGGGGAAAGGATGGTCCTACATGTGTCCTGCATGGATAAAAACACATCTAGACATGTGTTCACATGTGAACTACATGTTTTATAAGAGTTCCTGACAAATGGACAAAATCCAAAGAAGGAGGCCCCTAGAGTGAAGCACACCACATGAGGAACACACGAAGGGCTTCACATTTCCTTTCAAATGGGGGTTTGGAAACAAAATAGTTATCTTCAAATATTTTATAGCTGTCCTTAAAAGTGTAAAAACTGCCTGGTACTCAGTACTCCAGCTCCATTCCAAAACACAATCATTCATTCATCTGTTCAGCAAACATTTATTCTGCATCTCCTCAGAGTGAGGCCCTGTGTTAAGTGGCTATCTAGGGGTACATAAGACTCTTCGTAAGTAATGAAGAGTCTAGAAGCAGAGAGGGTTAAACAAGCATGCAAATAACCCAGTAACCATAATACAGGGGAGAGTATGATAGGCATCATGTGAGCAGAACAAAGCTTACTTTGGAATTCAGAGTCAGGAGTCATCATGTCCCACTAGCAAGATCAGAAACGACACCATGAAGGAGATGGCATTGCACTGGGTTTCAAAGATGTGTACTATTTCTGTGAGGAGAAATATACTAAAGACTTATTCCAGGTTGGGGGTAAAAGTGCAAATACTTAGAGGTGAGAAAAGGGCTGGAAAACATAATGGGACAGAGCCAAAGAACTGAGGAGTCAAGTTGACCACAGGTGTAGAAATCTCAAGTATTAGGGAACAAAGCTAGAACTTTATAGGCCCAACAGTGAAGAGCTTGTATCTTAGGCTGCAGAGAATGACTCGGTGCAGGCATTATTAAAAGCTTTGTAATATAGAGTGTCGTGTTTGTTTGACTCCTAGCATAGATCAGAGGCAGACACAGAGAGACAGGAGGTTTGCACAATGGCTAGGTAGAAGGAAATGAAGTCCTGAAGTAGGATTGAGGCAGGTAGCAGTGGGGATGGACATGAGGGAAAAAAGCTGTGAGGTATTTCAGAAACTGAATCAACAGCAGCCAAGACACTTCTGGAAATATGGGAGTGGGTGAGGAGGGATAACTCAATTATCAAGTCTAAGGGACGTAGAAAGAGCAGAAACCCCTGCTGGAGGAGAAACTGACTCAGGGTCAGAGCAGGCTGAGTGAATATGGAAGACAATGTGGCTACCCTGAAAAGTGGCTAGGATAGGACCAGGAGAATGTTCTAACCCAAAACCTTGCTCTAAGCACCTCTCAAACCTTCCCCAACTCATGATCACCTCCTCAGAAGCTACTTGATAAGGAAATACCTGAAAAGAACAGGCAAGGATAGAGCCAATCCATCCTTGAGAAGCGCCACTGGCTACCCAAGGCGACCCTCTGTGAAGGCAGAGGCTGTTGCAGGGTTAGAGAAACGCCCCCCTCCACCTTGAGGTCCCCCAACAGGGGGTATAAAGAGCAACCTTCCGGCCCTGAGTCTGCCACTCACTCCCCCTGAAACCTTAAAAGATGATCCTCTCTCACTTTGGGAGGCTGAGGTGGGCGGATCACCCGCAGTCAGGAGTTCGAGACCAAACCTGACCAATATGGAGAAACCCCATCTCTACTAAAAATACAAAAAAATTAGCTGGGCATGGTAGCACATGCCTGTAACCCCAGCTACTCAGGAGGCTGAGGTAGGAGAATCACTTGAACCCAGGAGGCAGAGGTTGGGGTGAGCCGATATCATGCCATTGCACTCCAGCCTGGGCAATAAGAGTGAAACTCCATCTCAAAAAAAAAAAAAAAAAAAAAAGATGATCCTCTCTGAGTCAATTCCTTCATTTGTAAGATAGGGGTAGTAATGAGTACCCCACCCATTTCACAGGTTTTATTAGATTAAGCATGAGGAGACAGAATCTTGCAAGCACACAAAAGCCAAGGGTCATTAGAAGTTGAGAGCAGAAACTACAACAAATTCCTATGTGTATCTTGTATGGAGCTGTCCATGGAAGGAGGGAGGGAGCAAGGTAGGCAAGAAAATCATAGCCTGGGGGCCACAGGCAGCTAAGTGTTAGTCAAGGAATACTGCCTGCCAGATTTCAAGAACAGCCTGCTCCAGAGAAATAGGAGGGACAGTTAAAATCAACCAGGTCAACCCTCTTGTTTAACAGATGGGAGGCTTCGCCCTGAGACAGGCCCAGTAACCTACCAAAGATCTCTAGTGGCGTGACAGAGGGACCAGGGATATGTCCAATAACTGGAATGTCTGTATAATCACAGTGTACACAGTATTTCTACCCACATTATCTTACTTATCTTCACAAACAGCCTTTGAGCTGAGTGGGAAAGTATTATTAAAATTCCTGTTTTTCAACCTGAGGTTAAATGACTTGTCCAGGGAAGGATTCAAATCCAGACAGTCATACCCCCAGCCCACTGCTCTTTCTCTATACCACAACTTCATGCCTGCGCTGGGTTTTAGCACAATCATTTAAGCTTTCATCATATTTCAGATTCCAAATTCTGTTTCATTACAAGTTCTTTTTCCTCTTATTTCACACTGCCTTCAGCAATATTTCACATTCAACCTTACCTGGTAGGATCCTACTGATCTCTTGTCTTAAAAGTTCAGTGCCCACATTTGGCACCAGAAACTCTTTTCTAAACCTGAATTATGAAAACTGGGCCTTCCCATATAAATCATCTTTACAAAGTCTGTCCTCACAAGTGTATCATTTGAGATGTGTGTGATTATTACAGCAAACACATTGGACTAATTGAGCCAATATTTAACATGCAAGTACCAAGAAAGCAGCTTTCACAACTGTGTAGAAAACGAAGGCAATTAGTTCCTGGCTTTATCAATAAAAGCTGATTTGCATTCATAGGAGGACCTCCAAGTGCAGTCAGCAACAGAAAATGATCCCGATAATTCCAGTAGCCCACATCCAAAGGTTCTGAACCTGAATGTGTGTCTTTATTGAGGGAGGTCCAGGGAAGACCTAGGGGAAGAAAGTGCTGAGATAAAACTGGGAACTGTCTCAATGTCCTCTTTCCCTTAGTCTGTGGGGCCTGACGTTCCATCACGAACCTTATTTCAGGAGTAAGCAATGAATGTTTTGCTCCTCTTTTCAACTCAGGGAAGAGGATTAATATTGCTCAGTGTCCTTGGCTTGCAGAGGTTTCTCGTGGGGATCATCAGGGGTGTGCTGACGCCTCCAGGCAGCACAGTAACAGGCCTAGGGGCCGGGCTGCGCAGGGGCGCTCTCATCTAACCTGCCTCTCCCTGCACTTTCTTATAAACAAGCCTTCAGTGGCGTGGCAGTCATTTCTGCTGAAAAATACTGGCATTCGTTCCTCTTATGCCCTCTCCTTCCTCACTATCCCCAGAACAAGAACATAACTTACCACCCACCCCACTCCCGTCAGAAGCAGCTAACGGACGGTAACAGCGCAGCAGCCCTCGGTTTGGAGCTCAACGGACTTGGCAACCACCTGGTGAAGGCACCAGCCTTGGCCCCCCGACCCCCACCAGCGGCGCGCCCCAGGGATGCCCCCGGCTGGGCACCGCAGGCAGGACCCAGAGCAGCGAGGCCCAGACGCCGGGCAAGCCCCCAGGCAGCGCCCTGCCCCAGGTGAGGCCGGGAGTCAGACTAAGCCCAGAGACCATCCCCACCCGCCATTAATAAAACGCAGGAAAAATTAAAGCTTTGTTTACCGACATGAGTGATCACTGTGGCCAGTCGCCGGGTGAGCTCCTGGGGGGGCATCTCTTCTTTTAAGCAAGACAGCATTTCACTGAAAAACCACTCCGTATAAATAAAGCCAAACAAAACTGTTTCTACCGCTGCTGTGGATGATTTTTTAAAGGCATCTCCTCCCGAGGATGCTCTGCCCTCGCCCTCTTCCTGGCTCTCCAGTCAAGGATCGAGAGTCCCTCGCAGCCGCTGCCAGCTCTCCCTCGCCACGCCTCGCGGGGGCTCCTGTGACAGACCAAGTCTGGCGCTTTCCCAGCGTCGCAGCTGGACCGAGAGGGGAGCGGCCGCTCTGCAAAAGGAAGCAAGTTGCCAGTCTCGCCGGAACCGCGTCCGGGCTCCTCCGGCTGAGCGAGGGCAGGGACTTCCAGAATCGCGGTCCCGGCCGCCGGGTTTCCGGCGCCGCCTCCAGGGACTGTGAGGTGAGGGATGCTTCGCCGGGTGCAGGGGAGGCGGCAGGTGGCTGCGGCTCCTCTGCGCCGCCCGCCCCACGCCCCATTCCCCGGAGCCCACCTCTTCCCGCCCGCAGGTGGCGCCCGGGGCTCTCGGGGAGGCGCGCACGCGCCCAAGCGCCGCTTGTTTGGGGGTCAGGAACGCTGCGCCCCTTTCCCTGCTGGGAGCCCGCGCTCCAGCCCCTGGAGTGGGGGCGACTCACGGTCCCTACTCGGAACCGTGGGGCAGGGAGACAGCGACTCCAGCCGCACCGGGGTCGGGATCACCAGACGCGCGCCGGCTTGGTCTCCGCCCCTCCTTCTTCCCGGCGCGGTGTCTGCGGAGGAGCAGCGGAGAGAAGGGGGCTGACCCGGAGCGGGAAGCTGGGTGAGGCGCCGCTGCTTACCCCACCTTCTGACCCGAGGGGCGGCTGGCGTGTGTTTTCCCCCCTTGAGGTTGTTCCACGCAGTTCTTGGCCTCCGCTGGCCACACCTGCACTGGAAGCCCAGCGCCTGGGCTGCGCTCCAACATGACTGGGCACGCATGGGCGCGCTCACCCCCTGTGTGGGCTTTTTCCTTGGTGCAGCTGCGCCCTTGCCACTGCTCCGTCTGTCACCAGTCAGGCGCGCCAGTGCTACGTTCTGGAGAGGCTGTGGCACATCTTTCATGCCGGTCCTCCTCCCCATCAGCCCATTATCCCGTGGTTTCCCTAGTTGGGCCCAGACACTTTCTGACTGGCAGCAAAAGACTAACCCCAGTTCAGCAGAGCGCCATGGGAAACACCTGAGCAAATGAGAATTCGGTCAGGTTGTCCCCCAATCCTTTCTACAGCGGGAGTCCCTGAATACTCAGCCGGTGGCGTGGCGGGACCACCCATGCGGATGTTCTCAGCCATCTCTTTCCTCTTCGATATGTAAAAAGCCAAGCCGCAAACACCCTGGATCCAAATTCTAGGAGTAGTCCCCCATCCCAGGGGGCGGAGGGTATTTTTAATGCTTTCTCTAACAATTGTGGGCTGTAGCTGAGAAGCGACGTTAGTTCACCTATGTCATGAGATTTGGAGAGAGGAGGTTCTTCCCGCTGTGAAGTTTGGCACTTTGCACGCTGCCTGCAAAACAGAGCAAGGATTTTCTTTTTCTTTTTCTTTTTCTTTTTTTTTCATTTTTAGAGATGGAGTTTCACCATGTTGCCCAGGCTGGTCTCAAACTCCTGGGCTCGAGTGATCATGCCCGGCCACAGAGCAACCATTTTCACAACCACCTTTTGCAAGAGATTAAAAAAAGGGTTAAAAGTCCAAGCATAGTGGCCCACGCCTGTAATCCCAGCACTTTGGGAGGCCGAGGCGAGCAGATCACAAGGTGAGGCGTTCAAGACCAGCCTGGCCGACATAGCGAAACCTCGTCTCTACTGAAAATACAAAAATTAGCCGGGTGTGGTGTCACACGCCTGTAATCCCAGCTACTCGGGAGGCTGCGGCAGGAAAATTGCTTGAACCTGGAAGGTGGAGGTTGCAGTGAGCCAAGACCGTGCCATTGCACTCCAGCCTGGGCAATAGAATGAGACTCCATCAAAAAAAAAAAAAAAAAAAAAAAAAAGTTAAAGATCCACAGGAGGGGAGGCAGCTTTTGAATTATGTTTCCACGGTGGTTTCTGGCTATTCGGGGGTCACAAGTGTTTTCAAGGAACCAAATGAGATGTTTCCTACTGATAGTAGTCAGAACCCTGGTGCCCAGTCAGAGCCAATTGTGAGTTTTGGTCAGCGGAAACCAACGCTTTGTAAAGAACACAATGATGTAGGGTATGTTGGACTGGGAGCGTCAGAGCCACTTTGAAGATCCAGTAACCTCAACTTCCCAGCTTAGGCCGGGTCCTTATGGGTGAGAATCATGAAAAGGAAGAAGAGAAGGAATGGAGGAGAGGAAAAGGAGGGAGGAGAAGCTTATGATTAAGAATGAGAACAAAAAGAAGAGAGATAGAAAGGAAATAAATCACACTCACAGTGCTGCCCACATCTTTGGTACTTTCACAGTCCTCAAAGGTTTCCATGGAGATAAATGAGCTCCAGTTATGGTGAGATGTAGCAGGCAGCGCCTATTCTCAGAAACTAATTCTGCTCTTGTCTCTGACACTTGCTCTCTCAGGGCCTTCACTGCTTCCCCTGGGCAGTAAGGAAGTGGCTCTGTGATCTCCAAGTTCCATTTTCCAGCTCTGAAATCCTATAACTGGAATTAAGAAGAAATGATCGGCCGGCTGCGTTGTCTTACACCTGTAATCCCAGCACTTTGGGAGGCTGAGGTGGGTGGATTACCTGAGATTAGGAGTTCGAAACCAGCCTGGCCAACATGGTGAAACCCCATCTCTACTAAAAATAACAAAAATCAACCGGGTGCATTGGTGGGCACCTGTAATCCCAGCTACTTGGAAGGCTGAGGCAGGAGAATCGCTTGAACCTGGGAGGCGGAGGTTGCAGTGAACTGAGATAGTGCCACTGCACTACAGCCCAGGTGACAGTGTGAGATTCCATCTCAAAGAAAAGAAGAGGAAGAAGGAAGAAGGAAGAAGGAAGAAGAAGAAGAAGAAAGGAAGAAAGAAGAAGAAATAATGACCATATAGTGTTCAATATCTCATACCTCCTTGTTCTTCCAAGAAAATGGTCATTGTCTCCATTATTCTCATGAACATTGACATCCTTTCTGTCTTCTTTCTTCCCACCCTCCCACCTTCCCTGCCTGTTTTTCTCCTTCCTAATTATGATCTCTTATATTATGCCTCCTTGTGTTCATTAATGAGGACAAAGCCCTCATGACCTAATCACCTCTTGAAGGTCTTCTTTCTCAGTGCTGTTGCATTGAGGATCGAGTTTCCAACGCATGAACTTTGGAGAACACATTGAAACCACAGCACAAAGAGGCATCTCATCACCCATGTGATGCCTTCCACCATGTTATGATGCCACATGAAGGCTTTCACCAGATACAGCCCCTCGATCTTAGACTTCCCAGCCTCCAAAACCATAAGCCAAAGCAATTTCTGTTCATTTTAAATTGCCCAGTCCTTGGTTTTCTGTTACGGCAGCACAAAACAGACTAAGACATCTTGGCTGGCAAAATCAGAGAAACAAGCTAGAAAAGCCTGCTTCCTTCTCCAGTGAACCAATTAACGATCACTCACATCTACTGAACATCTGCTATGGTTGTGATAGGCAGTGTCAGGTACAACTACCACCACCATATAGCAAGTGACTGTTCTGTGTCTAGTATGATGTTAGACATTTTGCAAACACCTTTGAGGCCTCACAACAGCACTCTAAAGGCTTTAGCCTCATTTTGCAGATGCCATTGTAAAGGACCAAACTGTGTAGTCAAAACCTAGACCATTCTCTCCCTTCAGTAAAGACCTGCTCAAGCTGGTCAGACACTGTGGCCCACACCTGTAATCCCAGCACTTTGGGAGGCTGAGGTGGGAGGATCACCTGAGGTCAGGAGTTCGAGACCAGCCTGACCACCATGGAGAAACCCTGTCTCTACTAAAAATACAAAATTACCCAACTGTGGTGGCGCATGCCTGTAATTCTAGCTACTCAGAAGGCTGAGGCAGGACAATCACTTGGACCCAGGAAGCAGAGGTTGCGGTGAGCTGAGATGACGCCATTGCACTCCAGCCTGGGCAACAAGAGTGAAACTCCATCTCAAAAAATAATAATAATAATTGCTCAAGCTCCAAGTCCCTGTAGATTGCACCTCCCTATGGGTGAACTGTCAGTGCAACTTCTGGCAAAGGAAAGACAGACAAAGGACCTACCTTGAAGAGCAGTGGCTGGCACTACAGCCTCCTCAGCTCCTGGTGCTACAGGTGAGGGTGGACATTCCTGGGGTACCAAGGAGGCCACCAGTTTCATCTACATCTGTGGTTCCCAAACTTTAGCAGCATCACCTGGGAATATAAGTAATTTTTATAAAAACACAAATTTCTGGGCCCTACCTCCAGGATTCTGGTTTAGTAGTCTGGATTGGTACCCAAGAATCTGCATTTCTAACAAGTCCCCAGGAAAACTGACGGTACTAGTCCTGGGATTACCCTTTGAGCACCACTGGCCTGGATGAGAGCTCTTTAAACTTCTTAGATTGCACATCTTAGTATGATTGTGCCATTAGAAAGAGATTTGGTCTTTGCCCCAAGGTCCTGGCATAGAGCTCCTAAGCCTCTTGGAATTTCATGAATAGTAGTGTGATAGGAGTGTCTTTTGTTCTAATGAAGAGACTCTTAGCAGACCCCTAGATAGCTTCAGAACACAGCCTGTTCACCAGAAAGACCAAACCTTGGTTAGAAGGTTGAAACTCTCAGCCTTATCCCTCAACCTCTAGGAAGGGGGAAAATGCTGCAGGTTGAGTTAACGACCAACCAATGATTTAATCAATCGTGCTTACAGAGCAGAGCCTCCATAAAAATCCCCAAATGAAGCCAGGCATGGTGGCTCACGCCTATAAATCACAGCAATTTGGAAAGCCAAGGAAGGCAGATTGCTTGAGCTCAGGAATTTGAGACCAGCCTGGGCAACATGATGAAACCCAATCTTTACAAAAAAATCAAAAAATTAGCCAGGCATGGTGGCACATGCCTGTGGTTCCAACTACTTGGAGGGCTGAGGAGGGAGAATCCCTTGAGCCCAGGAGGCTGAGGCTGCAGTGATCCAAGATCACATCACTGCCCTACAGCCTGTGTGACAAAATGAGACTCTGTCTCAAAAAAAAAAAAAAAAAAAAAATTCCCTAAATGATTGTGTCTCAGAGCTTCTGGATTGGTGAACACATCAAGTGCTGGGAGGATGGTACACCTGGAGAGGGCATGGAAGCTTTGCGGACCACCACCTCCCATACTTTGCCCTATGCACCTCTTCTGCTTGGCTTTTCCTGAGTTGTATCCCTTACAGTAAACTGGTAACAATAAGTAAAGCACTTCCCTGAGTTCTGTGAGTCATTCTAGCAAATTATCAAACCTCAGGAGGAAGTCAGGGGCACTCTCAATTTATAGTCAACCAGAAGTATGGAAGGCTGGGGATTTGTAATTGGTGTCTGAATTGAGGGGCAGTCTTATGGGACTGTGCTCTTAACCTGTGGTGTCTATTCTAACGCCAGATAGTTAAAATCAGATTTGAATTGAATTGCTGGACACCCAGTTTGTGCCAGAGAATGAAAAGTGGCATTGGAAAAGATCCCACTTACTCCACAGCTGATTGAATAGACGAACCTAAGAAGTGACATGACGCCGGGCACAGTGGCTCACACCTGTAATCACAGCATTTTGGGAGGCCGAGTTGGGCGGATCACCTAAGATCAGGAGTTCAAGACCAGCCTGACCAACATGGAGAAACCCTGACTCTACTAAAAATACAAAATTAGCCAGGCATGGTGGCGCATGCCTGTAATCCCAGCTACTTGGGAGGTTGAGGCAGGAGAATCGCTTGAACCTGGGAGGCAGAGGTTGTGATGAGCCAAGATAGCACCTTTGCACTCTAAATTGGATTCTTTTTTCCCCTATCTGGTGGCCAGACTTGCTGATTTTTTTGACATTCTTTTTTAGTATGACCATGCTTCCCACAGTTGAAACAAGCTCCAGGAAATGGAGTATTTCCTTGATCTACTCTCAGTCCTGCCATTGCCTGTACCAACAAGGTAGCTTTATGCAGATTACCTCCGATACCATCACAGGCCTTGAAATAATCAATTAAATGTGCTTTCCCTCTAATAGGTTGCAGAGCAGCCTGGCAATCAGGATTAGCGTGGTCAAAAGCTAATAACTACAGCACTATATCCTGAGGAGCCGAATCTGCAATCATCTTTTTAAGAGACTCCTGTAATCGAGCTATAAAATCAAAGTATGGTTCCCTTGGTCCCTGTTTTATAGCACTAAAGGAAGGGTATTGTTCCCCACCTGAAGTGATATTTTTTCCCAAGCTCTAATGCACACTCCTCTAACCTGTTCTATGGCATCATCCTGCATGACCAGTTGTGCATCTGAATCAGCCCAGCCACCAACCCCCAAAAGTTGGTCTGCAGTTATATTAATTTGAGGTTGGGCCTGGGCATTGCAAGCAGCCTGAATGGAAGCTTCATCTGCCCACCAAGTTTTAAATTGTAAGAACTGAGCAGGAGTTAGACAAGCTTGAGTAAGAGCATCCCAGTCAGTAGGAATCATCCAATTGGAAACAGTAACATTCTTTAACAGTCCCATTACAAAAGAAGAACCTGGTCCATACACATTTATAGCTTGTTTTAATTCTTTGAGTAATTTAAAAGGAAAAGGCTCAAATATAGCTGTAATATTTCCCTGTTGATCTGGGGGGTGTATTATAACAGGGAACTGCCTAGCCTCTAAATCACCCTCTTGTCTAGCTTGCTGAATTGCTGCCTGAATAGAACTAAGAGCAGTCGCTCGAGGTACTGCTCGAACAGTCACCAGGGCAACTACTTTTCCCCCAGTGTCCTCCAGAAAAGAAAGATATGGGGGATCATTTTCTTCAAAATAATAATGAGGGGGTGCAGAAGGGTAGGGATGAACCTCTTCTTCCTTTGTTGCCCTGGCTTTAGCTGGTAAATAAACATGCTCTGTAACCTCTTCTGTTACTTCGCTATACTCTTGTTCCTCCTCATTATCAGTGTGAAAAAGTTCCAAGGTGAAATGAACCAGACCCCATACCTGTCCCATTGTTACCCTGATGCTTCCGAGCTCCCCTTCTTACTCACCACGGGGATTGCTTTAAGAGTACTCAGGTGTCCTCCAGCTAGTTTTCCATTCCAATCGTCCCTCTGGCGACCCTTCAACCTGGATTCGAGCCCCAAGTTGGGCGCCACTTGCTGAGACCAGCTCGGTCAGGGAGATCCTAACCCAGTGGCACTATTGGAATTAAAGACACACACAGAAATATAGAGGTGTAGGCCAGGCGCAGTGGCTCACGCCTGTAATCCCAGCACTTTGGGAGGCCAAGGCGGGTGGATCACGAGGTCAGGAGATCGAGACCATCCTGGCTAACATGGTGAAACCCTGTCTTTACTAAAAATACAAAAATTATCCAGGCATGGCGGTGGGCACCTGTAGTCCCAGCTACTCAGGAGGCTGAGGCAGGAGAATGGTGTGTGGGAGGCAGAGCTTGCAGTGAGCTGAGATCGCACCACGGCACTCCAGCCTGGGCGACAGAGGGAGACTCTGTCTCAAAAAGAAAGAAAGAAAGAAATATAGAGGTGTGAAGTGGGAAATCAGGGATCTCACAGCC